TCATAATGCTAGAATCTGCTTAATTCTTTCCTTAAATTAAGTTCGAAATACCAGGCGTACATTTTTATTACATTACATATCCACATATTCGTTGTTTGCAAATGATTTTAATGGCCGATCCGTCGCAGAATTACGAGAAAATAAAAGTCATCGGCCACGGAAGTTACGGTGAAGTTTGGCTCGTTACGCACAAGCAAGACAAAAAACATGTAACATTCTTTTTAATTTTGATTTAATCAAATGTAAAATATGGAAATTATCGTCATAATTTGTCATTTCATCTTGCTAAATTGATATTGAAGTCAAATTAAAGTATTAAACAATATCCCAATTCAATTTTTATGTCTTAAGTATGTCCTAAAAAAACTCGACCTCCGGAATTCGTCGGCCAAAGAGCGTTACGGAGCCGAGCAAGAATGTCGTCTGTTGTCCGAACTGAAGCACCCAAACATCGTGGCATACAGAGAATCCTTTGAAACTAATGAAGGTTATTTATTCATAGCGATGGGTTACTGCGAAGCAGGGGACCTCTACTCGAGACTCAAACTTCAAAAAGGTCTGCCATTGGAGGAGAAACAGATTGTAGAGTGGTTCGTCCAGATTGCTATGGCGCTTCAGGTAGCAGGGGAATTATTAGGAAAATTAGGGAATTATTTATAATAATATTGCAATTTTAATTTCAAAGTTTCTTTCTCACAACTATATATTTATAAATACAGCTTTATAATTACAATTCTATAAATATAATTTTATTATTTTACACTTTTATTTCACCAATCTTTTTACAATTTTTATCTTGCTTCTAGTACATGCACTCGAAGAATATACTGCACAGAGATTTGAAGACCCAAAATATTTTCCTAACTAAAAATAGAATCATTAAAGTTGGAGATTTGGGAATTGCCAGGTTAATGTATATTTATACAAATACAAATACTCACACACAAACACACACACACACACATACATAAATACTTACATACATACATGCCATGTTTATATATACTTATACAAATACACACACACAAATACACACACGCACGCACATACACACATACATAAATACTTACATACATACATGCCAGGTTTATATATACTTATACAAATACACACACACAAATACACACACGCACGCACATACACACATACATAAATACTTACATACATACATGCCAAGTTTATATATACTTATACACATACGCACACACAAACACACAGAGAGACACACACACATTCATTTGAAATAAAATATACAAATATGTATAATACCCAAAAACGCACATTTAAAAAAAACACTGCAAATGTTCATTATATACATAAAAATTCTACACAAAATGTACATACCTGTATATGCAAATTAAACGCATACGTGAATACACAAATTATAAACATACATACAAAACAACGTACACACAAACATATACATACACACATAGGGTACTGGAGAGTTCAAATGATATGGCCAAGACACTGATAGGCACCCCATACTACATGAGTCCAGAAATATTCTCAAATAAACCCTATAATTTCAAGGTTAATATATCTTCTGGTGTCGTATTTAACGTAATAATATTTATTTATTCATTAATTATTTGTAATAATTATTATAATAATTATAATAAATAATTATGATAAATAATGATAAAAATAGTCGGATGTCTGGGCACTTGGTTGTTGCGTATTTGAGATGGCGACATTGAAGCATGCCTTTAATGGGAAAGATATGAATTCGCTCATGTACCAGATACAAAGAGGAAAGGTTGATCGATCTTTCATTCACTCATTCATTCGTTTATTCGTTCGTTCGTTTGTTCGTTCGTTCATTCATTCATTCATTCATTTAATCGCAGCTGCCACAAATTCCTGAGACATACACAGATGAATTGAAATCTCTGATAAGAGCCATGCTACAGAGACTACCTGAAAAACGACCTACAGGTTGTCATTATTAATTATAATAATTATTATTATTAATTATAATTATCATTAATTACAATTATTATTATTATCTTTTTTTTTCATTGTATATTAGTCAACAGAATACTGAGAGATCCGTTTATTAAAAAACACATTGCTCTCTTTCTTGAAGAAACTACTAGATTGCAGAGGTTTCTGATTGGCTGGTTGATTAATTGATTGGTTGATTGATTGGTTGGTTGATTGATTAATTGTTTGATTGATAGATAGATTGATAAATTGATTGATTGGTTATATGGTTGGCTGGTTGGCCGACCAACCAACCAACCAACTAATTAACTGAACGGCTAACTGATTGGCTGATTGATTGTTTGATGATTTCTTGATTGAGTGACTGATTAGCTGTTTGATTAGTTGATTAATCGTTCGTTTAATTGATTAAACGATTTAATTTATTTCCAATCATTATTTAAAACTTTTTTAAAGAAATAAAAAAGGCCAGGGCAGCACGAACAGTAGGTCGGCGAAATCTTCAAACAAGCAGGTTTGAATGTTGCAAACTAATTTCTATTTTGGGTAAGCCCAGAAAGAAATAAATTATGTTAATGACGGTAATAAATTATGATGATAACCAGGTAGAGAGAGAAGTTAAATCGGAGGAGGGGCCGATGGACGTTGCCAGCGGTGCAGTCAAAGATTTGAAAACCATTCCAGAAGAATCTACGACTGCTGATGATGATGATGATTTAGAGGATAATAATAATAATAATCATAATCATAATAACAATAATATGAATTTGAATTATAATAATATAATTAATAATAATAATAATAGTTCGTCATCAAACGTTTACAGACCTGTTCACCATAGTAAATCAGACACGTCAGTCAATAAACTATCTAAAGAAGATAATAATAACAATAGTAATAATAATAACAACAATAACAATAATAATAAAAGTAATAATATTGATATTAATAATAAAAATAATAATAACGATATATCGAGGCCACAAGGCGACAAAATTAAATTAAACGCCGATGGGTTGCCGCAAGCAGCTGCTAGAGGACAATCATCATCATCATCGGCGTCATCATCATTATCAAAACCAGTACTACCATCATCATCGCCACCATCATCATCATCACAACAACGACGACGATCATCATCAAGACCTCTTCCTCCCCTACCATCATCGTCGAACCCTAACTTAAGCAGAACTAACTCTAGCATTAATAATAATAATAATAACAATAATAATAACAATAATAATAATAATAACAATAATTATAATAACGGTAATGTTAACGGTGATCAAACTCAATCATCATCATCCACATCATTCTCATCATCGCTTCAACAGACTCCATCGTCGTCGTCGTCATCATCATCTTCTTCTTCGTCATCATCGTTCTTACTAAAAGTCAAAGAAAAATCAAGAAGTTTGATCGGCAAAGTTAATAATGATAATAATAATAATACTAATAATAATAATAATAATAATAGAAACAGTTTGAATGATGATCTAGTGGAAATACCAGATAGCGCAAGGGTTTTAATTTACCTTTTGTTATTTAGTGTTTTTTTTTTATAAATATCCCTTCTTATTATTATTAATTTTTGTTTTGGCCGTAACAAATCAGAATCAACCACCCAACCTACTGACCAATCGAAATCAACTCGTCAAAATCAGCCATCCACCTGACTGACAAATCAAAATGATACAAAATCAACCATCTAGCCTACCGACCAATCAAATTTAATCAATTTTAACCGACCAATCAATCAAATGTCCAGTCAAAATCAACCAATCAATCAAATAGTCAAATGCAAGAGCTCGCAGAAGACAGAAGATGCTGGTCGACAACTCGTCAACCAATGAGAGAAGAGAGCGTAAGCATTTTTGAAAGTGGAGCTTGAATTTGATTGGTCGAAATAATAATAATACCATGAATAATTATTACGAAATTATAATATAATTAATGAAGTATCATAAAATAGCAATGAATCTAGTTGTTATTTGAATGATATAAATCATGTTCGTCGTGCAGTTTCAAACGAAGTTGACAAAAGCAGGCCATCACAACAACAACAACAACAACAAAAACTTTTGCAACAACATCGACTACAACAACATCAACAACAACATCATCAGCAAGTCATGTCATCACCACCAGCATCATCATCATCGTCTTCGTCGTCGTCTTCATCGTCATCATCTCCATCTGTGAGAATGAATAAGAGAAGGTGTTCAAATCTAGTATCCAATCAACAACAACAACAACATCAACAACAACATATTACTAATAATAATAATAATAACAACAATAATAACGATAAAAACAACAACAACAATAATAATGTTGTTGTAAAGTCTCTTGTTAGGCCAATGTCTACGGGTAGGATCAGTGATAGAGAGAAGGACTTAGAAAAAATGAATAATAATAATAATAATAATATTTGGCGCAATAATTTCAACAGCAATCGTCGGAACAATTTCTTTAATAGGAATAATAATAATAATACAAATAATAATAATAATAATAATAATAAGAAGAAGCTTCTGTATAATAAGAAGAGTAATAGCCTTGGTGATGATGACGATGACGACGATGACGTCAATGATGGTGATGATGATGATGTCGTTTTGCACGCTGATCACAGAGCTTGTAAGGATAACATAAGGTTCAATCACATCAACTTTTTTATTGTCAATATTATTGTCATAAATATAATTATTATGATTATAATTATTTTTCGTAATTATTAGTATAATTATTATAATTATTGTTATAAATATAATTATTATTCGTGATTATTATCAGTATAATTTTTATGATTATAATTATTTTTTTAATTATTAGTATATTTTATATAATTATAATTATTATTCGTGATTATTATTAGTATAATTATTATAATTACAATTATTTTCCGTAATTATTCATAATTTAGAAACATTAGAGAAATGAATAAGTTCCTCTGCTTGCTCGGAACGCTGACACTACGTGGAAAACACTCCAGCTCTAAAAATAGATTTCGAAATCCTGATAATGATAACGACGACGACGACGATGATGGTGGTGGTGGTGGTGGTGGCAACAATATTGACGATGACGACGACGATGATGACGTCAGGTGTGGCAATAGAGCGCCAAAAATGCTTTACGAAGCTAAGAAAAAGGTTGCTGTTGTTGCTGTTGTTGTTGTTGTTGTGGTTGTTATCGTTGTTGTTGTGGTTGTTATCGTTGTTGTTGTTGTTGTTGTTGTTGTTGTTGTTGTTGTTGTTATCGTTGTTGTTGTTATCGTTGTTGTTGTTGTTGTTGTTGTTGTTGTTGTTGTTATCGTTGTTGTTGTTGTTGTTGTTGATGTTGTTGTTGTTGCTATTGTTAATGATGTTATTGTNATTGATGTAA